GGGGCTGGGGGACCCCTGGCCCAGCAGGCCGGCTCTCTAGGAGGAGAGCACTGTCAGACCCCGACCTTCGTGGCAGCTGGGTCTTCCCTTGGGGGATGCCTGTGCTCATCTCCATCTTTCCTACCTTTAATTTTTTCTTTTCGTAATGAAAACAGTGTATTTCCATGTTGGTGATCAGACATTTTGATCTATGGGAGCGCTACTCCTTGGGGAGCCAGGTTAGCTTTTCCTGTTAAGCGAGAGAAAGTCTGGTTACAAAGATCTCCACATTTACAATTTTTTCCCACTTCAAGCATTTAATTTATTTATTTTTTTTAAAATGGAGGCACACTGTTGCAGTTCAACCCCCTGACAGTTGTGCGAGAAGCAGATTGTCATAGCTCACCCTGACAATGATAACCTTGGAGGGGAGGGTGCTGTGGGAAAGTCCAAGGGGGAAGTTGATGCAGGAGCCAGTTTCTCTATGGGTTGCACAATTTGAGACAAAACTAAGATTTAATGTTCTTTCTGCTGTGCTCTTTGGGATCACTCTGGGGTGTTGCACGCTCACATGAACAAGGCCGGACCTGTGGGTTGCCCAGTGCATCCACTGGCTCGGACGACCTGTCCGTGTCTCGCTGGTGGAAGCTTGTTGCATGGTGAGCTTGACTGTGGTTTGGTGGCACACAGGGTGACCTTGTGCTCCTGGCGCCAGCTCACTGCAGAGCTGGAGGGGCTGCGAGGGTGTGCAGGGCCCTGCTGATGCCTCCCACAGAAGGAGCTGCTGCAACGGCAAATGCTATGGTGACTGTCGTGTGTTGGGTAGCTGGAGAGGTGTGGGGAAGTAGGGTCTCAATGCCTTCTCTTCTTTATTTCATTTATTATGTTCTTTGGAAACAGGAAAGAATCGGAGGCTGAAGCAGGCAAAAGAAGAAGCCCAGGCAGAGATTGAGCAGTACCGCCTGCAGAGGGAGAAGGAGTTCAAAGCCAAGGAAGCAGCGGTTTGTTTTCTAGATCATTTACTGTTACCTCCCCAGCCCCTTAGCCTTGCTTTTGGGGTTCCTTGCTCTGAGAGCAGCCTGCGGGGTGGAACATGCTGCCAGAGGAGTACTTCCCTAACAGCTTTCCTCTGATGCACAGTCATGTGTCATGGAAAAACCAGTGGAAGGGAATCAGAACATCGTGTATTGCATCTCAACAGCCAGAACTATTGACTGGCAGTGAATTAGCGTAATAAGCTCATGGACTGGCTGGTGCCCTGAAGGGCGGCAGCATCCCAAAACCTGCTGCATGTAGCAGTGTCAAAAAAAAGACCAAGCTCATTCCTCCTGTGACAAGCTGTTTTCTGCGATGCTAACATGGTAGAAACAGCTTGCCTTGATGATGCTGCTCTCTTGCTGAAGTGGTTATAAGGCTTGCGTTCTGCTTAGTGGTGCTGCTGCTGTGTCCCAAAGGGTGTGTTCCTTTCCTTCTGAGCAAGAGGAGGTATTCCTGAAAGGTGCAGGACTGGCGCCTTTTGCTGTAGCACAGTCAGGATGTTTCCACTGCCTGTGTGTCCCTGTCGGTTCTGAAAACTTCAGAAAATGACCTGGCAACCCACTCCTCTGGCCATCTTCTGGTTAGCATGGTACCACCTCCTCTGTTCTGCCTAACAGCCTTCGTGTCAGTAGGTCAAGATTAATTTTTTTACGATCACCTGTTAGCTCGGTTCACTAGGCAATATGATACCAGCCAATTCCAGGCTAATAAAGTGGACTTCACTGCCTGTCACCTGGTTCTGTTTTATTTATCCTTTCCAGAGAGAGGAGCTTTTTGAATTTGAGTCCCAGCATACTTTTTCTGTGCCTTTTGCCTGCACTTATATTGCTCTCTCTGTCCTTCTTCACCTGTAAGTAAGGGCATTTTAAGCTGTGAGAGACTCCTTGCTGCACATATCATACGGCCCACAGTCCTGCTAGGAAGGCAGAGATTTTTATAAAGATTCGCCAAAGGTAGAAGCAATGGGATGATGGAAGGCTGTACTTAAACTAAGTCATGGGTGTTTCTTTTCTAACAGCATCTAGCACAGTAGTGCCCAGGGGTTGCTGGTTCCAGTCACCAGTGCAGCAGGACCTTTACTTCAGGCACTCTTTAGAAGCCCGTGCTCTAAACTGATAGATAATGAATAAGAGGATAAAAGGCACGGGCTGCGGATGAAATATAAACTCAGGCAAGTTTAGTGGGAAATCTGAGCAGAGAATCCACCAGTACTTTTTTTTTTTTTTTTCCCTTTAGCGCAGTTCTTCCCTCAGCAAAGATCAGTGGCTGAGATGCAGTGAGGCAGTCCAGAATAACACAGTCCAGAGCTAGGCACAGCATTTTCTTTGTTGCGCTATTTGCAGGTGAGCTTTCTCTTTCCTTTGCTATTTGTAGGCGCTTGGATCTCATGGCAGCTGCACCACTGAAGTTGAGAAAGAGACCCAGGAAAAGATGAGCGTGATCCAGCAGAACTTCCAGAAGAACCGCGAGGTGGTCCTCTCCCAGCTGTTGTCCCTAGTGTGTGACATCAAACCTGAAATCCATGTGAATTACCGCATCAATGGGTAGTAGTGGAAGAAGGAATGAGCATACTGGAAATGCTGGTAGTAATGTCTGAGCTTCAAGTGGAATGTACAGCTCTTAGCCATACCTTAACTGTTCTTCCTGTAAATGTGTTAAATTATTTCAGTGAGTTGTAGGTCGTCAGTACCTTGGAGTTCTGTTAGTTTCTCTCTTGACATGGATTCAGAGCTTACCCAAACATGAAATGTCCATGTCTCAAATCTGTGCTAAGTTATTAAATATATATTCAAGTTGGCACATTAATGCTCCCTTTTTATCTGGATAGTATTCAGTGAGAGTCTTTCCTCTGGGAAGTGGAAAGGGGAGAGATGCTGGCCAGGTTTAAATGGAGACCCCATGTCAGTAATTTAGACCTGTGACTGTATTTGGTGACCAAAATGCATTTTTTGGTGTGTTGTTAACCTTTGTACGGGGGTTAAACCTTGTAAGAAGAATTCTCTGGCTGCACAGTGCTGGTTGATCATTTTCAGGTGCTTGAGTTTCTCTGTATTGGTTATCCTCTGTATATTCTGCTGTTAGCTTGAGTTACAAGTCTGGCACTATGACACTTGAAAGTAAAAATACTTATTTAACTCCAAAGTCTCTGGTCAGTCTTGTTCCTGCTAACTTGTTCTGAGAGTACTGACAGGTCTCGTTGTGTTGCATGGGAGTCGCGACTGAGGAATGAATATCAAGTATTGATAAAAAGAGTAAGAGATACAGCAAATCTCTGAAGGCCGCAGCAGGTAAGTTAAAAACCCATTACAGAGCTCCTCCTCTTGGCCCTAGTCTGATGCTTTACCTGCCAGATCATTCTAAAAACCTTCAGGAACAAATGTTCTTGTGACCGTTAGGGGAAATAAAGTGTTGCCAGTTCACTAGAATAGTTTGATAGCCAGGCGCTGTGCTGTAATTATCCTTCCTTCAATCAAGTACTGGTCGCTGCTTGTTTATACCAAGGTCACGCTGTATCCTGCAGCATCCTGCTGTACCTGGGAACAGTGTGAAATAAGTGTGTTGGGATTGTCCGTGCATCACTTTCTAGCTCTTTAATCAAAAGTACACATGAATACATCAAGAGGTCTCATGTTTCAGCAGTTTCTTCCTCTCCCTCTCTCACCAGCAGAATATTAACTGTACCTTGGCTTTTTTTGTCGAGTTCAGTTTAAGGCTTTTTGCAGGTGGTGAGCACGTACCTGATAAGACCCAAGACTCTTGCAGTTGAGAGTCTAAGCAAGAAACTTGAGTGATGCTGCTTCTCATCCTGTGTTTCCCCACACCCTCAGTGTAGCATTGAAAAGGCTTGGACCTGTAGAGTTTGATTGTGGTCGGGAGGGAGGGAAGCAGGATGGATAAAGTTGTAATGAAGGAATGAATGTCAGGCAGGACAATGGAAGAGTCAACTGCTCTGGTGTCTCATGTTGTAATATTTTATTGTAGTGTACTGTAGTTCTGAAAGGATCTCTTTAGGAATTCAAGCTATGGGTTGTAAAATTGAAACAAAAGCCTCCTGCAAAGTCAAATGTGCCAGGCTGGGGAAAAAGCCAGGTTGCTACAAGGAGAACAGGATCAAAGCAGTTTTAATCAGTCTGGTCTAATGACTGCAGCGATGCTATGGCCTCATAAAAGGTTGCAGCCACGCTAATTCTAGTCTGTCCTTCGGAGAGGAAACATTTCTTCCTGTTGAGAGCAGGTGCTCAGGCTCCAGTGTGATGCTCCTGGTAGATGTCCTCCTAGCTCCAGGCTGTAATTAGCAACTTAATCCTGTTTATCAGTAAAAGGCTGCTACTCTCTCCAGGAAAAAAATACAGTGCGTGCCCCACTTTTCACCTTAGTTCCTAAGTTTCCCTTAGTTAATGAGGACTTTCTATCCTTGCTCTCTGGAATAGTAAGAGGCAGGAGCAAAGGAAAAACCTTTCCCCGATTATTTCCTCTTGGCAAAAGGTGGTGTGAAGACTTTCCCTTTAGAATGATGTGTTGCAAGAATATAAATTTTTCTGTAACATTTCCCTGAAATTTAACTGTTGAGAATTGCCAGGCTACAACTTTGTGCAGAAGTGAGTGTTTCCAATTCCAGCTCTCCAGGAAGCCTGGCTTTGTTTGCAAGTGTAGATGTTTTGTTTTAAATTGAAATTCTCTCATCTTACCCTGTCATGCTCTGGGAAAGAGAGACCTACTGCTAGCTTCGTGCCTAAGCCAGGCTGTGCCAGAAAAATACTCTGCAGGGAGCAGTGGTCTACTGACAGAGGTATGGAGATGGACGAGTGACTTCTTGCATCAGAAATCTGATTTTCTAAACTTTCTGCAGCAAGTTTGATTAGTATAAATCTGTCTCCAAATTCTCCCTGCTGCTGATCTGCCTCCGTAATCCCTCACAGATGTGACCCCATGCCTAGGAGCTGTAGCTTGTTCTTGTACTACAAAAAGGGCCAGAAGCCGCTTTGGGTATGCGTACTGCTGTCTGATTCCCTTAATTTGGGCTCTGGTCCTTGGAGATGCCGGCCGACTGCCAGGACAGTCACAGTGCTGGTGCTGCGGGGAGGTAAGAAGTGGTCAGTGCTTGTGACTTGTTTTGTTCGTGCAATGTCAAGTGAGTGGCTGCTGCTGTTGATTTCTCTCAGTTAAAACTGCTTCCAAATAAGCACTTTCCTGGGATCAACACAGGTGTTTTGGGATTTACAGAGTGCCATTTGGCTGCAATCACATCCATATTCATCAACAACGGTTTGGAGTTGATTTTTGTGGAATTTCCTTTCAGGTATTATCTGTATGGAGTTAATATTTTTTTGCTTTAAAACACCACTGGGAAGGTGTGTCACCTGTACCAGCACCAGATGGACAAATGGCTTATTAACACCAGAAGGGGAGTGTCATCTGGGTGGCTTGATGAGGCACAATTAGGACACACATTAGTGCTGCTTGAAGCCAGAGTTCAATTTTTAAGGTGCATCTGTGTTGACAGAGCTTGCTCCCTGCTTAGCTTGTGCTGTTCGGTCCGAAGGTCGACATCTCACTGCTGCCTTTTTAAGCAAGGAGTTAAATTGCTGAGCACCCCTTTGGGAGGGGAGGCAGAGGGGAAATCAAAGCCCTTGATCCTGCTCAGGTCCACTGCCTCTGCTCTAATGACGCTTGATACCTTTTTGGTCAGTTCAAGAGCCAGTGTGGGTTTGATCACCTGTGCATTTGTTACAGTTAAACCGAAAGAGGTGAGAGGAAAGGTCTGGCGGTGGTCAGGAGGGATGAGACGTGGTGTGTACAGTGAGGGCAGGGTGGTGATCACCCCAGGTGATCCCACAGGGGGCTGCAGAAAGCCAGTGAAGGGCAAGGCAGTGCCACTGCTGGAAGGTTCATTCCGATGGCGTGGAATGGCAGGAGAGCGTGCTCCTGTCAGTGTTTGGTTTACGGGGCTTCCTGTGATGTTAAGAACAATCATAACTTAATTATTTTTATAGGACCGTTTTGTGTGATATTTAACTTGTAATTTTATTTTGTTTGCTTCAGAGAAAGTAGTTTTCTCCTCTAAGAGATTCCCCTGCCCCCTCCTCCCTTTTCCCTTCCTCCCTTTCCAGGGTCCAAACAAAGAAATAAAGGAGGGAAATCACACCCAGCCCCACATCTGGAGTCCAGGTGTTTGAGGAAGCTCTCATTAAGAAGGGAGCAATTTTGATGACCATTGCCTTATCACAAACTCCCCTGGCAGCTTGATTCGGCAGTTTCAGAACCATTAGAGAGGACCCTAAATTTTCCCGGTGCTGTGGCTACTGCTGAAGATGGATGAGCTGTTCCTTGTTCTGCCTTGCAGTGACCAGCTACTGCTAGATGGTCACGCCAACGTGCCTTGTACCAATCGCTCAAGGCATCCCAGTGTGTAAGTCCAAATTTGGCAACCTTAAATTCCCAATTCTTCTGCTTTTGTGAGGTCCCTACACAATTCTCCATGATCTTTATTCAAGTTGGAGCTTTGTTTTATGCTAGATACCAGCCCATCAAGCTGGCGACAGTCCCTCTCCCCTCCCTTCTATCCACAGCTTTGGGTCCCTGCTGTTTGGTGCCCATCTGACCCTGGAGCAAGCAGAATTAGCTGACAAAAAGCAACCCTACAGAAAAGGCAGCAGCTTCTGGCCTGTGAGGCATCTTGTGGGAGATGTGGACAGCAAGGTGGTGCGTCCCAGCAATAGCTGCTTGCAGAATAGCTGGGCTCAGCCTTTCAAAAGCACACCCTAATTTTGGCTGACCTAAATACTCTTGTGCTCTCTTGCCATTCTGGCACACCATCATACAGTCCCTTCTGTAGGCTACAGGTAACTATGTACAAAAGAATGCCATTCCTCTTCCTTCTCTCTGCCTGTATGAAACCTGCTCATTTTTCCTTTTTGTCTCTTTTTTTTTTTTTTTTTTTCCCTCATCTGGAATCTCTTTTCCTTTTACCTGACATCAGTAGTTCTTGCCTTGATGCACAGTAAGACACACAAGCCTAGAACCCACTGACCCCAGCTGAGGTTTTAGCTTCAAAGTATCAAGGACCCTCAAGATCAATGTTTTGTTGAAAACATTCCCCAAACTAATCCAAGAAAGGAGCATGGTGTAATCTTTCTTTGAGGTTGAAAGGAGAAAGTACTAATTTAATGCAGAAAAGATTGTATCTCAGACTGGCATAGGAATAGAAAATAAATAGGTATTAAATTACATTTGGCTGTCTCAAAATAATCTCATAAAGCATCTACTGGATCAATAGCTGAATCATTGTCCAAGGCACATGGAAAGCTTTCTCTCTCTTAATTTGAGATGCAAGAAAGAGATTTTTGCATTACCATAATAAAAAGAATAATACTTTAAGTCTTCATATAAAAAAGGCAGAATTAGGGGGAAAAAACCCCAAAGAACCACACTTTATGCCTTAAGCAAGTGTCATTTTTCATTTGAAATATAATTTAGGGATATTGTGAAATAAAGTTTTTATATTTAATGACTGTCAATCTGTCAGCTTTTCTGAGCTGTTTGACAAAAAAGCCTCAGCCCAGAGTCTGTGAAGAAGACTGTGTGTGCAGGAAGAGGGGAAGGGTAAGACAAGGCTTTCAACAACTTTGTTCTCCTAATTAAGGCTCACTTAGGGGGAGGGGAAGGGGGAACAGTTATCCACTGAAAATGTGGTTTCATCAAAAGAAAATGAGATCTGCTTTTGTTGGCTGCTGCTCACCGCTGCAGCATGCAAAAAAAAATAGGCTAGTGTAGGGAGAAACTGCAATCACATGCAGACCACGGCAAATGAAGCAGGAATAGCAGCGGTGTGCTATTGGCCTTTCAAATACTGCAAAAAAAGTGCATCAAATCATGCAATAAATGTGTAGAGAAAATACGGTCTTTGGGATCAGAATAGGAAAAAGCAGACCAATGCGTATACGTCTTGGTATTTAAAGCAGTGGGACCTGAAGTAGTGAAGAGTGACCTAAGAAATGGTATTGGGAATATGGTAGAGGATGAGGTTAGCCTGGAGGACAGGAGGTATCGGTGGTTGCTGTCAGCAAAGCACTTCAAATGCAGATTTTTTTTTTTTTTCCTGGAATCGGGTTCCTTGTAATATATTCATTAATGCGGCATGATGGAATAGGGAGTACAGTTATAATGTATGTCCAGGGCACCAAGCTGGGAAGAGATACAAGCAGTACAGGGGACTGAATTACAGTTCCAAATGATCTTGATGAATGGGAGAAATGATCTGAAACCAACAGTATGAGACTCCCTGAAGGGAACCATAATGCCGAGCTAAGAAAGGTGAAATCAAATACACAAAACCTGAGCAATCGATAACCAGCTGCACAGCACTGCAGAAATGGTGAAAATGAGGGTGGGCTCCCCTGGACTCAGCAGATGTTTCGGTTTTGAAATGATGTCACGACTGTACAGTGTATTGATATGAGTGTCCTGTGTAAGGTGGAGGTGAGAAAGAGTTGTTACGCCCATGAATGTGGTGAGGACTCCGTGTCCTGTTTGGACACTGAGCTTTGAAAGAGATGAAAATAAATTGCTCTTTGAATAGAGCACCAAAGGGCCCGGGGAGGTTTGGCAAATGCGGTTCTGAGCAATGGTGGTGGGGAGGTAGGGGATTATTTAGTCTAGAGACTCCGTAATAGTGGAGAGGTCTTGAAATAAATTAGCGGTTGTTTCAAAACGGACAGATGTTTAATTTCTCACCCGATTCACTGAGGCTGGAAGAAGCAATCAACTTCATCTGAAATGGGAAACATTTTGTTTTTAGCTGCTTTTTACCGAGAAGGTTGAGGGGCTGTGGAGGCTTCAGCATCACCACTGCTGGAGTCCTGATGTCCCCATGAACTGGGGTTGTGCGGCTGGGTTTTGTCCCTGAATAGCTCTTGGCCCTGGCAGCTGGTTCCACCGTGTTGGAAGGAAGAGTGAGGTCTCCTTTGACAGTAAGAAGGCTGCAGTGGGAGCTCATCACTTAATTATCAGAGGGGTAAGAGCGGGAAGCAGAAAATAGGCAATGAGCAGGTGAGGAAAGACAGGGGGACTTTGCAAATAGCCTTGCCATGGGTTTATGTTAGGTCAGGACTTACTTCTTCAAAGATACCAATGAATGCAGCTCAAGCTGCCTTAACTCTGATTTGTATAAAACAAATCGCCAAATCCCCTGCCAGCCAGCACAACCTGAACGTACGGCAAACATGATGCTCCCTGGAGCAGACACATCTGCATTTTCATTGGCTTTCATTTCATTCATTCCCATTTCAGTTTTTGGAAGACCTTCATTTTCATATAGGGCTGGGTTCAGAGGGTGTCAGCCGGGCTTCGCAAAACAGAAGCACCTCCAGTCTGCATTGGGATCCAGCCGGTGTACTCTTCCTGTTTTACAGTCAAATAGTTCCCTATTTCTTGTGAGCCTTTGCCTCTCTCCAAATATCTTCCTAGTTTACTGGTTGACTTTGTATTTGCTGTTAATTACCATTCTCTGTGCTGGCTTTAAGAGGGTTAAATTTTTAATGCTCAAGTTTTGGTAGGGCCATTAATGGGTGGGACAGGAATGTTACAGACACATCTTTGCCTTTCAGAAGCGCAGATATAAAGGCATGTGTGCAAATACGATAGCAGCTTATTGTCCAGCTGGAATCTAAAATGTGTTGTTTATTGATATATATTAATTATTGCATATTTTATAGACTATTCTGTGGGACCTGTGGCTACCAGATACCTGCTTGGATTGAGAAGGTACCTGGTGGGGTCTTGCCTGCCCAACAAAAGCGTCAAAAAGATGATCAGAAAACCAACACCGGCCAAAGGTTTCTGAGCCCTGAGTGGCTTGATGACCACGGAAGTCAGGAGGAGTCGGGCTGGGAGACCTTGACTCCACACAACCCAACCTGCAGATCCATCATCTCCTTTGGGCCAGATCTGCAAGTTCAGGGAGGCAGTTGGGTGGAAAATGGTCTTGGAACAGTAACTGAAAAACCTTGCCTTCCATTTAGGTTGGTTTAAGCTGCTGTGAAGCTTCCTCCTCAGTTCCTTAGATAGGTGTGAAAACCTTCAGAGGGAAAGCCTGTCAATCTAAAAGTTTCTAAAAGTTTAAGTGTTTGGCCTTTTTTTGCTGCTTCAGAGCAGCAAAACTGGCATTGCTTTAAACTTGAATTACCTTTTTTCTTCCTGCACCCCCAGCCCCCCTCCCAGATGAGCAGGATTTTTCTGCTTGTGCTGATGGGATGAGGTGTGGGTGCCAAGATCAGCCCACGCATGCATGTCTTGCTAAACAAGCGGTGTGTGGTGTACACGCTGCAGGTAATTACGAGTCTTGCTTTCAGGTTTATTGCCCCCCCCCCCGAGTTTTGCCTCAGGCATTTTACTGCAGTGAGCTGACAGTGCTCTTTCTAAGCACTTTTGCCATCATATTCTCCCTCCATCAGGATCCTTGCGTGGGCAGGAAGAGGTGGAAGCAAAGCCAAAGCTTTTGATGAAGAGCATTTGCAAAAGAACCTGAAGCTTTGCATGGCCCTATCTTGGGTGGGGAATTGAGCTGGGCCTTGAGCCTAGTGACAACAGCAAGAAGATTTATCTGACTTTTCTCAATACCTGGACAATGTTGCTATGTGAGCTGCCAGTTTCCAGTGTCAGAAGATCCCATGTGGGTAAGTGGTTTTGAAGTCAGCCAGTTCTGTTTCCCATGCAGCCACGTGATGCAATGAACGCATTGCTCAGCAATGTCTGAAGCAAGCAGGGTTGCAGAAATTCATCCCTCTGAGAGAAGAACAGCATTTTCTCCAGGAAGCCTGTACAGGCACTGCGATGAAGCTTTTTCTTTTCTTTTTAATGATTCACTAAGACTGTCACTAAGGTACTTGATTCACCCTGTTCCTAGCCTCCATAGATCCTCTAGCCTCTGGTAAGCTGTGAAACCATGATTCCCAGGCTAATGAGTCTTCTCTCCTGTGGTGTGTCTCGGCGTTACCTCTTGGTATGAAAGCAAAGGACTTCTCCAGCACATGAAGCTGTTCTGAGGGGGGTCTGTCTGACCATGATCCTAATTCTTTTCTTTGGAGTACAGCGGCTGGAGAGGAAACTCACCCCCACCCTCCATATCAGCGCAGCCTCCTGGTTTGAGGTGGGCTGCGGTTCCCACCCTGTGCGTTATCCCTGTTCCTCTGTGCTTTACCCTGACTTTTTGCTGTGTATACAGTGACCCATCCTCAGCCTTGAGATCCTCGTTCACCTCTTCTGATTTCTCCAGCCCTATCATCAATGCTTGGTTTTCGCTAGTGTATTCACGACAACTAATCTGATGCAACCTTGGGATTTGTATTTTGTGAGTCCTTGCCCCAGCTGATCGAGGAGGAGAAGGAGAACCTTCTGTCTGTGCCTCTCTTCAGCTCTGCACGGCCTTTAGGGTGCAGCTCCACGTCTGGACCCCCCACCCTGAAAAAGGTGAGGATAGCTCCTGTGGTGGGATCTATGCCCATGGCTGCACCTTTGGTGGGGAAGCACTTTTGAGGAACTCTGGAGGGTTAAAACCACGTTTCTGAAACCAGCCTAGGGGAAAAGTCACATGCACAAGGGAGATTTTGCAAGTTGGTGCTTGCAGCTCAGGGTAATGAGAGGGAGCGTGGGGGTGCAGGCTTCTTACCTGTGGTGAGCTGTGCCTGGTTAGTCCGTGGTCCCTGGGAGACACAGGGAAGAGACCAGCCTTCCCTGGCACAGGCTGGGGCTGTGGGACTGGAGACCTCCCCGCCCGGTGGTGGGACAGTGTGGCGCCTGGGCAGTGCAGGAAGGGATGGTGGCAGATAAAGGACGAGGAGGAAGAGGAGGAGGAGGAGGAGGAGGGAGCTGAGCCTGCTCCCCAGGAGCAGGAGGTGAGGATCTGGATCAGGTAAGCCTCTGCCGGCTGCTCTGGAAGGACTTGCTGAATGTTTCTCTGCTGTTTAGCTAGGGCTTGGAGGTGTCCTAAAAAGAAGGTCCATAACCCGAAGGAGGCAAAGTCACCAGAAAGTCGTTGCCATTGCATAAAGGATAAGAAGAGAGGTAGAGGGTCACAGGGTGTGGGAGGTGAGAGGATGCCCCTTGCATTGGCACAGGAGGCGGCAGGGGAAGATTTAGGGGGATGGATCTCTGAAAACAGGCAGTCATCCTGCAGTAACTGGCATTGGAGCCAAACGAGTTGTATGCTGCACAAGGAGATAAAAGCAAAGCTGCTTGTGCGGACGAGCTTGTCCTGGCTGGGGAAGGGCTGAGCTGCCCTGACCCTACTGCAGCGTTTGCTGTCATCCCCAGGGACTCAAAGTTCTCGACATCTAAACCAGAGGGCCTTGATTCATCTCTTACTTAATGTGACAGCAGCGATGACAGGGTGGTGGGTTTTAATTAGGTTTTCCTTTTGTTTCCTCTGTTTTTTCACTCTCTGCTTTGCTGTTTTGTGTGGGCTTTTCTGTCTTGTTTTTCACTTTCCCTTCTGCTTGATGCTAACCTGAAGGGATTGAAGGCAAAAGGGTAAAGGAGTGAGAAAATTCACTGTTTGAATCCACCTTTGGGTGCTGGGAGACATGCTCTGTAACATGTGCCTGCCCATGCTCGTCAAGGAAATTGCACCGAGAGCCGCAGTCAACGTACAGCAGCTGCGTTCCTCGCCTGCGCTGGTGAAGGGCGGGTGCTGTGTCCATGACGCGTACGCACAGACACGCTGCACACCTCTTGTACCATGGCTTGATTCCTTTAAGTGTGAGTTTTCAGCCCTCTGCAGGATTTTTCTGCGATCAGAAGAACCTTTCGCGTTGTTTCTCTTTCCTCAATTTCCTCTCCGACAGTCCTTCAACCGGTGACTATCCTGGGTTGTGCAAGGGGGTAATTGCAGCAACAACCATTGGTCAAAAATAAAGCAATCCTCTTTGGAAGGAGAGGGGATGAGCTCTGCGAGGGACCCTTACACTAAGAAAAGCGACAGGCTTCTGGTGCAAAAGTAAGACCAAGCAGAGGTTAAAAAAAGTAAATGATAGTTTTGGAGAGGCAGCGCGGATGCAGCTGAGCCACGTGAGTGGAAGATAATTGAAAAGTAAACTTCAGAGTCTTCCAAGCATTTGCTTTAATAACCACCCACAGGCTCTTGGCAGTAGGTTGGAGACCTACGTCAGCAGCATTTGCCTGGAAAACCCGTGGGCACGGTGCCTGCTGCGGGGACGTGCCCCGTCGACTTCTGGCGCTGCCCACGGGGGGATGAGAGGGGAAAGGAAAGCAGAGACACTCAAAGGCTTTGCTGCTGCTGGGTGAGAGCTCTGCTTGCCTCTGCCTTCGGTGGATGCATTTTTCTTCCTTGTCTGCACTGCTTCCTTTGCATGGTGGGAAATTACCGCCGCGCCAGTGAACAGGGTGCATCGCTTCCAGGGAAGGGCACTTACACTGGCTCCGCTTTCTCCTCAAAGTGCCTGCTGAAAGCAGTAGTGAAAAGCCTGTTGGCTTTGCGGGAAGGAATCCTGTCTATCCCTTGATTAATTGTTTAAAATATACAAATATTTAAGGCTGTCAGGATAACTTAAGGAATATTTAAAGGTAACTTTTCCACCTATTATAAAAAAAGGAATTGCAGCAAAAGGTGAGCCTGTGCATACTGCGCTCATGGCTGGCTAACACCTACCTGGTGATGACATCCACGGGGAGCGGGGTCCAAAGAGCAGAGTATGCCCAAGTGGTCTGTGCTGTTACCCTCTCTTTGCTGTCTCTGCAAGATCTGGGATTTTCTTTTCCTCTTTTCAGGGCTAGAAAATGCCTCCTTGCTCGTGGAAAGCAAGATCTTGGTGAAGCCATCAGTGGGAGTGTGAATGAAGATTTCACAACCCGGTCCCCAAGGAGCAGAGCAAGCCGGCTGCCTTGGGGCTGAATCGGCGTTTCTCACCAGTGAAAGATAGGGCGGACATACGAAGTGCTGAATTTCTGACAATACAACATAGTCCCTCGAGGAGAGGCAACTTCAGCATGGCCCATAAAAGCCAAGCTGGTGGAATTGAGAGAAATGAGTCACTCTCCTCCATCCTCTATTGCAAGAGTGATTTAAAGGAAGGATCCCGGCAGTGGGTGAAAGGTAAGCGAGCAACTTATGATAAGGAGAAAGGCGGTACTGAGTACAGTGCTCTTTCAAATAACAGCAGACAGATTTTTCAAAGATGCTCGTTAACGGCAACTCCTTTGCTAAAGTAAAGATTATGGATGTTTCAGCGTTTTGGGGAGGGGATGGACACACTGACTTTTTGGAAAGCTTGGTATATAGGAATGAATGGGCATCAACCCATTGCAATTCAGGACCCTGGAAGTCATTTTAGCCTTCAAAAGTCAAGGAGTATCTGGGAACCTTGACCTGTGCTGTCCAGGTGACTCCCTTCCCTGGAAACCCGAACGCAGTGCCACGGATGGCTGTTTGCACCAAGACGTCCACGCACTGCTCAGCAGGGCACCCTTTTTCTTGCTCAGTTCACGGCATCTCCTTAGCACTTGGTTTTTGCAGGCGTGAGCTCTTGTCGCTGCAGCAGACCTCAAGGAGCTGAGCCTCTCTGCAAATCTCGGGTATCTCAGCTTGGCACCCAGCTTGCTGGACTTCGTGCCGAGCAACTTGACCAAAGTCTTGGAGAACAGGAGAGCTGAGCCCAAAGCTGAGGCCATTTGGTTTTATTCTTGCTTTAGTCTCACCACCTCCACTGCTCTGTGTCAGGAGGAGATAAACCTGAGCAAACAAACAGGACCTTGTTATCCTGGAGGTTTCAGATGCATCTACTCCTCCCTTTTTGACTTGATGCAAGTCATGCCTTCTTGTAATGTAACGTAATGCCTGGTTTCACTTGGCATCTCGTGTTCCTGAACAATGAAGACATGATGAGGATGGAGGGCATAAGTGGGAGAGAAGGGAAAGCTGAGTGCACGCTGTGTTTCAGCCAGCAGAGCAGTCTGGGAGAGCACTAAGTGGCAGCAGGAGCAGCCACTGGCTGACCCCGGATCTGCAACAGGGAAGGAAAGCTGGATGAAATGTTTCAGTGAAGCAGGAGCTCAACTGAACAAGCCACTTCCTTAGACCCCATCTCCTCCTCTTGACGTAGCACAGCTTGTGTAAGCTCCAGGTGAATGCCAGATGGGATGCCTGGAGTTCACAGCTCTCCTGTGCCACTCCAAGGCTGCTCTGCCTCAGCTCCCAGCAGCCTGCTCCTCAAATCTAGGACTGGTTTTTAACACTTTCTAGGCTCCTGACTGCAACTTGGGTCTCTAGATTACATCTCTGATCGTAGCCCTAGCTGCAACTGGGAAGCTGAGAGCCTTGAGCAGAGCCATGCTGCCCAGGAGCGCTGCTGGAGCGGGGACCCGGACACTGGAGAACCTATGGGGCTCGTGCACCAGGGCAGCCCTGCCACATCCCAGATGATGTGATTATTGGAAAGCACTTTAATTTGATTGCTCAAGCTTTTTCTTGTGGTGGGTGGGGTGGGTAGGCAATGAGGGATGTCTCTAAGATGTAGATAGCCTTAGCAACACTGAGTGGCTTGAGTCCGTGGCCCTTTCAGTTAGTGACTGCTCACTCCAGGAATGTCTTCAGGGTTTCCTCCCTTTTTGTAGGGGACATCAAGCTGCTTCCAAAGTTCCTTGTGATGTTCTCAGAAATGTCCAAGGTGGGGGGGATTCTGGATCCACTTACACCACATCAGGGTGGTCTGTGTTCCTCAGCCTTCCCTTTGCCACGTGTTCCTTAGCTGTTGGGAGAAAAACCCTTGCTAGAGCTGTGTTGATGACTCCTCTGGGCTCTTGCAGAACCCCTCAATGGCCAGGTGCTCATGGTGCTCAGCATGGACAACAACTGCTCAGCCACCTCCTTTGACATGGAGCTTTGTGCAGAGAAACTGAAGTCCCTTGGAGTTCAGGTAAGCTCCCCTGGGGACCCTGTAGGAGTGAAAGCTAGCTGGATTAGCATCATTTGCATTTGCACCCACATCACAGACAGCTTTTATTATTTTTTTTTTGTGGTTTGAGAGTCACTTGTTCCAGTTCAGCTTCAGTCTGTTCCCCATGGACTGCAAGTCAACTGTAATGATCCTGGCTTAAACCTCCATGAAGAAACCCATTCAACACAGGTTCTAGTGAATTGCTTGAAAGCCACTCTGATGGGATGGAGCATCCCTGGGACAATCTGTCTTGTCTTGTCCTTTGTCATAAAAAGGTGGTTTCCTCTTGTGACTTTCCCTGCACTTTTCAGGGAGATATTACTGTAAATGAGGCAAGAACACAAGTTTTTGGTCTGTGACAGCTGTATGGCTGAGATTGGAGGTGCACTCAGTGGGAGGGTGCTCTGGGACACAGCTTTCAGTTGCAGTGCCAGCCTGGCTCCATGATGACTGCCTGAGCTAGTTCTGATGGGACGAGGATTGAAACTGGAAGGTGACTCTAGTTTTCTCTTGGCTCCCTGGGCAGGTGGCAGCAGATCAGTGGAGAAGGTTAATCCAGGATGCTGTCCTGAAGCCTGAAGTGAGACGGTACATGTTCTACAACTCCAGGGCATTCCAGATAGCCATTGCCATGGTAAGGACAGTGGGATCTATCACAGCCTGGCCATAGACCTGTGCTTGCCAAGATGCTTCAAGACCTACAGCTGGGGTTCTTGTGCCCAGGGAGGGGGAGAGGTTTGGGTGGGGAGGAGATACTGTTTTTCACAAATCCTACTGGGATCCTTTGGAAATTCCAGTTCACAGAATTTCTGTAGATGGAGAGCAAGGCATCTTCTCCAACCCCTTGCTGGTAATCCCACCAAAGCAGGCTGTCTGTGGCTGGATAACCAGCATATGGTGAGGTAGTAGTACCTACTTTTTTAAACTTAATTTTAAAAATCTGTAGATATTGTGGTCATGATGCTAATTTACACCAATGGACCTGTCAACTTGGGTTACTGAGGTGGTTGTCTAGTCTTGGTTGTTGTCTTCTGTTGAGAGAAGCTCCCTCAGAGACCTCAATCATTACCATCTACTGTAAAGCTCATACTTTGTAGTGTGCTGAGGCTGTGATAAAATCTGACTCCTTCATTTTGTTTGCATTTATTTTTTTGGATAGCCATTATAAATGTCTTCTCCTCTTTTCGCTAATATTGTAGGAATTGGTGCTCAGTGTTTTGAGGGGTTTGGTGCCTGTTTGGTGCAAATGAGTTCTGTTATGGCAAGGTGATGCTGAGACGTGCTGTGCTGTACACATCATGTTTGTTTCTAGGCAATCTCCTGCCCAAATGCATGCTATCAGAAATAGAGGCCAAATGAATTCAGTTTTGCCCGTCTTTATGCAAAGGGCAAGTTTCTCAGTCCTTAACATAGTCCTTGAGCTCAATGTCAGTCTCCACCTTTTGAGCGTTATTGTAATTGAGTAGTCTTTGCACCACCTTGAGTGCTTTGACACAGGAGCTTTCCAAATACAGCGACTATTAGAAGTTCTATCAATATGCCTCAGTGAGTGCATTTCTTATCTAAATGGAAGAACTCCGTTGAAATCCTTCCTAGGTATGAATCATCATTAATAATTCATTCTCTGGCTCTGATGACCAGTAATTTTTTACAATAAACTAGGGCTCGCTCAGTCCTTCTAGTCCTTTCTTTCCCCTATTTATTATTGGAAAGAACTTCTGTCCTTTCTCACCCTCTGAAAATCTCATGTGACTTAATTTATGGTAAGGTATTCTCCCTAGGAGAAGGGACCGGTAGTTTTCTTCTTCCCTTGACTTTTCTCACTTTCTTAGCTTTGTGAGTATCGTTGGTCTCTCTGGGTTTTTATAGGTTTTCTACATGTCTCTCTGGACAAACATTTACTCCACAGTCCAGCTGTGTTCCTTCGGACGCTACTGGGAGGCCAGCGTGCTGGTGACCCTGGCTGCCGTAGTGGTCACTGTAGTTGTGATACTGGTTATGGACCACCACCAGAGGAAGGTAAGAGGAGGTTGCTAGTGCGCGGGGGCCCAGGGAAGCATGACTCCGTCCCACCAAAGTGCGAGGACCCAGATCATCACCCAGGCTACAAAAATGATCTGAGGGCTGGAGCTTCTCTCATAGAAGAACAGGCTGAAAGAACTGGTCTTTTTCAGCCTGGAGAAGAGGAGGCTGTGGGGAGACCTGATTGCAGCCTTCCAGCACTCAAAAGGGGCCTATAGGAAGGATGGGGATAATCTTTTTAGCAAGGCCTGCTGTGACAGGACAAGGGGTAATGATTTTAAACTAAAGGAGGGGAGATTTAGACTGGATATAAGGAAGAAATTCTTTACAATGAGGGTGGTGAAACACTGGCAAGGGTTGCCCAGAGCGGTGGTGGAGGCCCCATCCCTGGAAACATTCAAGGCCAGGTTGGACGGGGCTGTGAGCGACCTGATCTGGTTAAAGGTGTCCCTGCTCCCTGCAGGGGGGTTGGGCTGGGTGACCTCTAAAGGTCCCTTCCAATCCAAAGCATTCCATGATTCTATGATCTCCTAGATACATATGAAGATTGTAATTATTACATCAGGCTCGGAGATCAGGTTCAGGCAAGGGATGTTTTACAGCCAAGCTAGGTGTTGTAATGCCTAAAGAGTAGGTGTTGGAGCCCAGCAGGCTGGCTCAAAGCGCCTGCTGTCGCTGGAGATAAAGCAACCACTGCAGAGTATGGTTCACACTCCCAGGGCTGGTGGGAAGCCACGGGGGCTCGCCTGCAGAGCCGGCTCCTGCCCTGCTTCTGACGACGGTCCTTGTGGCCTCAGCTGTCTGCAGCCATTAATAGCATCGTTTACTTGTGTTGCTGCAGTGCTTCTGGACCTTGCAATGGGTCCAGAACAAAAAGGCAGCTCATAACCCAGAGAAGTTGCAATAAAATTGTAAAACTGAGGTAGACCGGGCAAGTAGAAGGGAACAGGGAGATGACGTTAGCATGAGAGGCCACCAGCCTGCAGCATCCACTGCTTGACTGTTGTCAACTTTTGTTTGTAGGAATCCCAGGAGTATGGAAATTTCTAAGGTGTGATCTGAAGAACAATATTGGAAAGGCTTGATTCAAAATCCAGAGGGGTCCTTGCACTGATTTTAATGGATTTTGAACTAAGCCTCTAATGACAGCTGTGTAATGACTCCTCCAAAGGGAAACCTGGCAAATGTGCAGGTGCACGGAGGTTCAGGAAAGGAGTCCTCCACTCAGGGGTTGCTGGGGAAGGAAGGGAGAACATGATGCTAGAAGTCAATTCCACTTCAGATGCCTTGTCTACAAAAGGAATAATCCTTGGTGAGATGTCTGGCCACACAGACATCTGCTAGCAGTGGCTAGGCTGATACCAATGGCCAGTGAACAATCCTGCCTGGCTACAGACTGCTCTTGTCACTGCTTTCCTTTCAGAGACGTGGTATTTGGGATTATCCAGCTGCAGTTGGTAGCTGTAGGCTGGCCCAACATTTGCTGGAGAGTGTGTTATTTTTTTTCCTGCATTCTTTAATAGATAAATATGAATACAGATGTGAGGCTGGCAGCTGTCAATGAAATCTTTATCAAACATGGTTTAATACTGGGGATTACAGATGCCCTGGACGGGCCACATAACATCCTACAAGTATCCTTTCTGTAGGGAAGCATTTGTACCCCTCCTGGGGAGCTAATGATGGGGAGGTATTTATTGATGTTATGATCCATGAGGATTTCCAATGGGTGGGATTTCTAGGATTTTTGTTTTCTCCTAGTGGATAGCATGAAGGATTGGGTATTTTTTTCTTCTCCTATAAGTGGGGATTGAGATATACCCAAAGGCAATTGGAAATAATGAGTCTACGAGATTGAAGTGGGATTAGTCCTTTGGGCAGCAGTTATTCCTGAAAGTGTATTAGACTTACATGGCAGTGGTGATTCCTCTTATAGGCAGAGCGACAGCAATGTGTTCATGGCAAAAAAAACCCCAAATAACATGGAGAAAACCAGAGTCCCCATCCCTGGGAGCTCATGTTCTGCCTTGCAGAGACAAACTAAGGCAAGAGCATCCAGGTGCCTCTGCTCTCCTGGAGATTTGCAGCCCTTTAGGAACATTAGGGACCCTGATCTCATGGGGCTCATGCCTGGCAGCTGGCTCTGTAGCTGCCAAGCACCTCTGACCTTCATGGCCTTTTAAAATTGCAAGTTGACAAAACCAGGCAGGGGGACGCTCATTTGCTGCTTTTTAGAGACACCTTTTCTGGACTAGACAAAGATTTAGGGGAAAGAAGAGAGCTTTAAGACAGCATGCAAGTGCTAAAGGAAGGCGAGAGAGATGGTCTCCCAGATTTGCTGATGGACCTACATACAGAGGGGTTATGAGGAGAGGGAACCAAGGCTGAAACACGGGGTCAGAGAAGGGGGCAGGAGGTCTGGCAGGGGTGAAGCCATGCAGAATGAGGAGGGAACACTTAAGAACCTGAATTACACGTTTGTTCAGACCTGCATCTCTTTGCACCTTGGTAAGCGAGGACTAATCCAAGCAGCCTCCACCTCTACCTACGTGTCCCAGAACTGCCTGAGAGCAGAAAACAATCCAAGGATTTACAATTTCTCAGTCTGCTCCAATGTCAGATCCATTTTAACCCTCTAGCTTTTATGCTGTTCCTGAATCATCCCCTCGATGATGGCAGCTTGAGTAGATACACAAGGGCAGACCTTTGGCTGCCTTCTGGGGGATGGCTGCTCTCAAGGCTGGCAGGACTCACGTGCCCAGCACATTGCTCTTGGTGAACTCTTTGCAAACAGTGTCTCCGTCCTAAAGACAAGTACTGAATACAGTAAATTTTGTAAAAAATAAATACAATGAATCCCTAGAAACAAAGGAAAGAAAGGAGGAAGGAGTTTAGGGGAGCTAAGTGGAGGTGACCCAGCAGTTTGTTTAGATGAAAGACCTCTGAGATGAGTGATGAGCAATGGCCCTGGGTTATCCCAGTTTTCAACCCCCCAGGGTGTAGGAGGTGTGCAAGGAGGACTGGCTTCCTGCTGGGGCGATGTCCCCCTTCCCTGCCACCCTTCTTTTCCCCTTTACCTTGAGGTTTTGCCTTAGCCCAGACCCTCTTGGCTTAAAACTAGCCCTGTGATGTGTTATTTGGTTCCTGTGTCCTGAGCTTCCCGTGGGCACTGCCTGCCTTTGCTCCGCTTCCTGCGAGGTCCGTACCACGATCTGCACGGAAGCATGGAGGGAAGACCCCTTCCTTAACACTGCCCGTCCCAGCTGTGGTTCGTGCACTTCAGCCTGGAGCGCTGCCTCCAGTCCTTGTCAGCCCACATCACGGACCTGCAGAGGACACGAGAGGTAAGAGACGGCCGACGCAGCCCAAGCTCCCGCGGCAACAAGTGCAGGTCCATCCCTACACCCCGGCATTGGTGGGAAGGAGGTGGGCAAGGAGAACCGAGTGTTTGAGTGTCCTCCCGGGCATCCCCTGCTGTGAACTGGGAGCTGGACAGACTGGGAGGTGGATAAACTGCATCTGTCTGTGCCCAG